TCAATTTGTTCGTATATACTTCTATAATTTCTCGACATGGAAGGCGTGTTACAAGACCTCTTGTCATGATTTGTTTTTTTTTTTTATAAAATTATTAAATTCAAAATGGTGAAAGAGCGTTCAAAGGCAGCCGACTCCCTATTTAATTATTAGTTAATAATTTATTTATAATTGATGAATGTTCGTATTATATGTAATTATATGATTTGTATATGATTAAAAGAATCGTGTCATTAATAAAAAAAATAGAATAAATTGTTTTTAGCTTATTACTCAAGTGTCAAGTAAAACATCCTACCCGTCATTTATTTGGGATAGTTAACTTAACGTTTAAGTATAAAGTCGTGAAATAATTCACTCTGGGAATTATAAGATCATTTCATTATATTTTTACATTTTGGTAATTTTGGAATTTAATAATTTATTTATAATTGATGAATATTTTTCTGACAAAGTGATATTAAAAGTGTTGCTACCTTTAACTCGAGTTGTCCCAATGTCTTGCAAATAATGACCTAACTACCAAAAATTAATTGGCCAGCTTACAATTTTATTTTATTTATAGGTCTAAAATTCTTTTATACTTAATATTTATTTAGATATGGTCAGTAAGATTTATACTTTTTTTTCTAGTTTAAAGACTTATAATATAATTAGAAATTTAGAAATTAGAAGTATCTTCCTAAATTGATTAAATAGTCAAATAAACCTCAGTGTTTAGTTTTCTTATATTTTTTAAAGATCCTATTCTAGTCCGACTTAATGTCTAAATAGGTTGGCGACTCTTTTAATTTTGTCGGCATTATGACCGGTACTAATTGTGACCAAAACTTATAAGTAAAATTTTTGTAACCTTACAAAATATATATTAATATAGCAATTCACTAATTAATCACTGTCCAAAATTTATGTATTAATTTTATAAAATAATCTATAGTAAAATACTACAATCGGGTAGTTATGAAATAATGTGAGCGTAGATGATCACTTTGAAAATACCTCCAAAATTTATTTAAAAATTACAAATAATTCATAAAATTCTCTCAGTTTGTCCACACCATTCACCATATTCAATTCATGTGAAATAATTATCTTACAATATTCAAACTTATATCATGAAAGAAAAAAGAAAAAAGATTATTTATTAGTAACATCAAGTTAAAAAAAACACAGTACAGGGGGGTCGCGGCACAGTGGTGACGTGGCATAGTTGGATCAAGTATAATGATATCTGACAGTGATTAAAATCACTATCATAAGAAATGCTTCGATGCAAATCTGTAGAAGGTGTTTCATTTAGAGAAATTGGTGGATTATTCTACAAGTTACATGATCTGCTAGTTTCTTATTAATATCCTGATTAAGATAAAGTATGTCGAATGAAAAAGGGATTATTAAAAAATATTATTTCTCATAAAAAAATTATGTTGATCCATACACTTTTCAATAAGTTATAGCATTATAAAGTTAAAAATGTAAAAAATAAAATCGAGAATTTTCACACAAAAATAGCATTTGATAGCCATTTTCACCGTGAAGACAAAATAAAGTCCAAAATTTTTTTTTTAATATTAAAGTATATTACATAAGCTTTAATTTAAGATATATATAAAAGTGTCAGTATTTCCGGATTTCAAAATTTAAGTTGAAAAATTNGTGTCAGTATTTCCGGCTTTCAAAATTTAAGTTGAAAAAGTCAATTTTTTGTGAAAAAGTTGTCATTTTGAATCCCCCCCTGTAGGCAGGTAAAAAGTCAGATTTATAAAAAAAATATACCAAAGGATAGGTAAAGACATCATGCATCTATTAAAAAAAGTTATATTGATTTGTTCATTTATGAAAAAGTTATGACAGTTTTAAGGAAAAAAAACCCAGCACAGGGGGGTCGCGGCACAGTGGTGACGTGGCATAGTTGGATCAAGTATAATGATATCTGACAGTGATTAAAATCACTATCAAAAAAAAACGCTTCGATGCAAATCTTTAGATAGTGTTTAATTTTAAAAAATTGGTGGATTATTCCAAAAGCTTCATAAACTGCTAGTTCCTTATTAATATCCTGATTAAGACAAAGTATGTAGAATAAAAAAGAGATTATTAGAAAATAGTATTTCCCATAAAAAAATTATATTGATCAATACACTTTTCAATAAGTTATAGCATTATAATGTTAAAAATGTAAAAAATAAAATTGAGAATTTTCACACAATAATAGCATTTGGTAGCCATTTTCACCTTGAAGATAAAATAAAGTCCGAAATTTTTTTTTTCCATGATAAAGTATATTACATTAGCTTTAATTTAAGATATATATAAAAGTGTCAGACTTTCCGGAACACTTTCAAAATTTAAGTTGAAAAAGTCAATTTTTTGTGAAAAAGTTGTCATTTTGAATCCCCCCCTGTAGGCAGGTAAAAAGTCAGATTTATAAAAAAAATATACCAAATGATAGGTAAAGACATCATGCATCTACAAAAAAAAGAATTATATTGATCCATACATCTTTCGAGAAGTTATAGCATTATAAAGTTAAAAATATAAAAAAGAATTTTTTTACAAAAATCGTATTTTTTTTATTAAGTTTAATGTCTGTTTTCACCATGAAGATAAAATAAAGTCCGAAATTTTTTTTTACCATAATAAAGTATATTACATTAGCTTTAATTTAAGATATATATAAAAGTGTCAGACCTTCCGGAACACTTTCAAAAGTTACGTTGAAAAAGTTCTACTTTCTATATGCATTTTTATGTTTTGAATCCCCCCTGTATTTAGGGAAATGGTCCGATTTAAAAAAACAGTATGTCGAATGAAAGATCTATATAAATACTACTTCTCATAAAAAAATTGTAATGATTCATACATTTTTCAAAAAGTTATAGCATAATAAAGTTAAAAATGGAAAATACAAAATCGAAAATTTTCACACAAAAATAGCATTCGGTAGCCATTTTCACCATGAAGATAAGATAAAGTCCGAAATTTTTTTTTTTCATAATAAAGTATATTACATTAGCTTTAATTTAAGATATATATAAAAGTGTCAGACCTTCCGGAACATTTTCAAAATTTAAGTTAAAAAAATTAATTTTTTGTGAAAAAGTTGTCATTTTAAATCCCCCCTTGTGGGCAGGTTAAGGGTTAAATTTATGAAAAAAATATACCAAATGAAAGGTAATGATATTATGCATCTATATAAAAAAGAATTATATTGATATGTTTATTTTTGAAAAAGTTATGGCACTTTTAAGTAAAAAAAATTGAAAAAATTTCGAAAATTAGCGATTTTTAAATTTGTAATTTTTTTGGAGGTTTCCCCCATTTACGGGGAACGAGGGAATTTTTTTCAATTTTTGAGGGTAATGTCTTCGACTAGATACGATTTGTGATCTTTTGACGTATCATTGAAAGAAATCGGTTCGGTGAGAGCTGAGAAAAAGTGGTAACAGACACAAAAAAAAAAAAAAAAAAAAAAAAAAAAAAAAACACTACTTAGTAAAACCAATACCTTCTCAGCTTCGCATCGAAGCTAAAATTTAAAAAATTTCGAAAATTAGCGATTTTTAAATTTGTAATTTTTTTGGAGTGGTAACAGACAAAAAAAAAACACATCATAGTAGAATTACTACCTTCTCAGCTTCGTATTGAAGCTAAAAAAACGGTAGCACAGTAGGGTTGCAGCATAGTGTGGACGTGGCATACTTGGGACTAGTATAGATGATAACTGACTGTGATTAAAATCACTATTATAAGAAACGCTTCGATGCAAATCTGTAAATAGTGTTTAATTTTAAGAAGTTGATGTATTATACCAAAAACAAAAAGAATTCTTATTTTTTTTATTATTCCTGATTAGCAGTTTTTTTATTTAAAAGTATAACATATGAATAAATATTTATTATAGCAATTAAATTAGCATGAGATTGATATTTTATAATATAATATTGTAATTTTTTTAGAGAATTTATAAAATATTTGAAAGTAGATATTACTTTTATTGAAAACGTGTATACAAATTAAAGGGCTTGACACAGTACTTTTAAGATAATAATTTGTTGATAATTGTGAATAGTCTGAAAACTTTTTAATCAGAATTAAAAGTATACTTTTATTATACAATTTCCCTTCTTAATTTCAAATCAGAAATTCTTTTTAATACTATTACTCATTAGTTAAGATTTATGATATATATAGCAACATGTTACCAAAAAATTTGGAATATTATATACTGGTAGTAACACATACTAAAGTTAAAAATAAATAAAGTACGAAGTAAAATTATTTAATTTTGTAGTTGAAACCTATTATAATATCAAATCTATTTTGACATTAAATACTTTAAAAACATTATAAATGAATTAATTGTCTTATGGAAAATGCAGGGTAATATCATTTTAATTGATAAAGTGGAATTTTTGTCAATTTTTGAGGTTAATACCTTTAACTAGATAATAGTTGTAATCATTTGATGTATCGTTAAAAAAAGTTATTCAAGTGAGAGCTGAGAAAATAAATGAGATCCATAAAAAAAAAAATTCACATAGTAAAATAATTGTAATATGAATAAGAAATTTCTTCAAACGAGGACAGACTTCAGTGATGGGGTCATTGAGATTCATTGATGTTATTAAATCTAAATGAGATAAAAATCCAATGTGTTAAAAACTTTTTTCTAGCTCAAAAAATTTTGTAAGGAATTTATAAATCGAGAATTTTAGCACAAAAATAGCATATATTTTAATACGATTGAACACGATAATTTTTTAAATTAATAAATATCATTACATTTTTTTTTTTATTATTTATTATCTTTCCCATAAACTTTCGTTTATAAATCTCGAGAGATATTATCGGGTATTTTTAAATTAACACTATTAAAATTAAATAAATGCGTTCGTTAAAATTGTTTGAAATGGATATCAATAGCTAAATTGATATCCCGTAAAAATTTATCTAAATATTATTAACCATAAAAAGATGATTAGTTTTTGTAGACTTGTTATATTGGTTCAATAATTAATTTTCATGAATATATTATAAAAAAATACATGATTAAAATTTTTTCTAACTTGTTTATAATAAATATTATGTTTTATATAATATACATAAATTTAAAAAATTACTGATAAAGTAAATAATCAACTAGATATATTGGAGTGTAATATGACTGAGTTTCATTATCAAAAACATTGTCATCATTATTTATCTCATCATTTTCATCACTTGATTGATCACTATTATGTCTCTTTATTTTAGTTGCATTAACACCAGGAAAATATAGTGGTCGATATATGTCTTCATAATTTCCTAATTGTTCTAAAAATAAAATTTATAATTATAGTATTCATATAAAAAGTACATATATTTTTATTGTACATAGGTGATCAATTAACAAAAAATAACAGTTATGTTACTAAAGAGGACTATAACTCTGCCTTAAGTAAACTATTAATATTATATAATTTTGGTGATAAAATTTTTTCCATAAAATTTTCATATATAATATACATATATTTTTATTATACAGAGTGATTCTTTCAACTTTAATTAGCTAATTTTTCTTAAAATTATTTTTTTAGTGAAATTGTTTTTGCATTTGTTAGTTATAGGTAACATATGTATATTTACTTATCTAGTATAAAATAATTTTTAGGTTCGTCCTTTATACCTTACAAGGGTAATAAATAAGAACCCTTATTTTGTAAGATAGGTTAATATATATATGTAAGGAAAAAAAACATTATATTGAAAGATTGATAGAGATACATTTGTAACTAACCAATGACAAAAAAAAATTTTTTAAAAAATATCATTTTAAGAGCATTTAAGGGGAATTTTTTTTAGGTAAAATTTATCAAACATAATTCGAATACTCATTTTTCAAACATTAAGATTAAAATATTCATTAAATTTTATGTTTAATTTTGTCAAGTACTAATCATTTTGTATGGCAAAGCTTCAATATACAATTACATCCAAATTCGGTATATCTTTAATAATCTCAGAACGACTAAGAATTTAATATTGAAGCGGAAGAAGGGTCATCTGGGAAGATGACGGTAAACATCCAATAAGTATCAAGATTAGACAATAAATAAATAACAAATAACCAGATACTTTAGAAGTTCTTCAAAGAATATTTTATACTTAAGGGGTAACGGAGTGTCCTTAAATATTAATGGCCGCCAAAGGATCATAAAACGAAATAATTAAACTCAATTAAAACAAATAATAAATAACATTAAAAAATAATATTAAACTAATAATAGATGAAGATGTTGATAGTGACGAGTCGACTGTATAAGATCTTTTGTGGTTATGGTATCGCACATTTGAATATCACGAGTCAGAGTGTAGATCCAGACACGATAAAAACAGACGGCAGAAAAGCGACTACGGCAATAAAATTATTTAGCGATGGTCAAGGCACGAGAACTTTCAGCACAAGAGTGCAATAATCAAATAGTAAAAATAATGACGTACAATGGCCGAATAATCTACCATTCGAACGAAGGCGATTGCTACGAAAAAGAAAATGACACATAAAACAATTGACTTACTGATATACGATGATGAACTATACACGGATGACAATTAACACGCAAGTCATCAATTTGCCATGCTGGTTAGGCAAGGGAATGGGTAAGGCAAAGACGCTAGAGATCAGCTATCATACGATATAATATAATTAAAGATGTTTGTGACAACTAGTCCACTAAGTCTTTGCTAAAGGCCTTCTCTACCAAACGGATTTAAAGATAATGACAGCGATTTTCTTCAACATTAAGATCCCGTCTTACAAATTAATATTAACTTAAAAAGGAACGATATAAAACTGTAAAAATTTTATTTAGTTCATTATTCATAAAATAGTAAAAAAAAAAAATTGATTCCTTTTTAATTAAAAAGTTACACTTAAAATCTACCATTAGGAATAATTTTTTCTTACAAGAAAACTTGTTGTTTAATGTTTTATATAAAAATAAATCAAATTTTAGTCTGTACATAAATTAATTTTTAATACCTGTGTGTATTTTAAATGGTATATCAAACTAAAGGGTCAGTCGATTAAAATTTTTTAACTATCCTTCTAATAATACTCTATAAAACCTCTAATAGTATAAATTTATTAAAACATTGCAAAATTTCTTTGCACTATTTTGTTTGACAGAAAGAAAAAAAATTCTTGTTATGAGTTTGTGAACTAACCAAATGGTATTTTATGCTTGAAAATAATTTTAAATGTATGCATATCTATGAATTCTATATGAATATATTTATTTGCAGCCACAAAACAATACTGATATTTTTTCAATTCTGAAACCAATAAAGTAATTTTATTTATTTCCACAATCACTAAATCAAAAAAGTCTTCAATATCGATTTCTATGACATTTTCTATCTGTAATTGATCAATACTTTTACTTAATCTATTTATTTTCATATAGTGTGTTTTCATATAATCTTTGAAAAATTTCGAAATTGATTGCATTTCTTTAGTAGAAAACAAATCATTGTGATTTGAGAACAATGAAATAAGTTCGTACGTCTTATTAAAATTACGCAAGATGTAAATTGTAAGATATTTTCCAAATAAATCCATATCCATAAAGGATTTTATTATTTCAACAATATTTTGACCCATTTCAATGATTTTATATTTCATCGCGTATTTTAATTCATCGTTTTTAAATTTAGAATTTAAAACGTATTTTCTAACTAATACAAAATAAAAATGTACCATTACCATAATTGGACGAACCGTTGCTGTATTTAATAATTTTTTAAATAGTAGTATATTTTTCAAATCAAAATCGAACTTGATGAAACGAAATATATCTAATAACTTTATTTCATATATATTGTTATTTTTTATTTTCAAAGGGGCATATCGAATCATGTCTAAAACATCATTTAGTTGATTATCACTGTTATATCTAACATACTGTCTTGATTGGGAACCTGATATAAGGTCTAGCTCCGAAAAACAAGAACGATTTTCCATAAAATCATAAAACAGGACATTTTTAGGATTAAAAAAATAGAATGATTTTCTTTCAAAAGATTTCGCCAAATGCTTTATTATCTTACAATATTTTTTTAATATGTTATTATCTGTTCCCACAAACATATCTCTCAAAGTCAAATATTCATTCATACTACTAATTATTCTACTATTGAGTTTTTCGAGTTCTTTAAGCAATACGTTCGGGCTGTATTTGAATGGTTCTTTAAAATTAGACAGGGATATGAAATATTTTTGAACTGTTATATTTAAACAATTTCCATTTAAAAAATATTCCAATCGTTCTACAATTGAACGATGAATTATTTTATAGCCTTCAAGTAAATTCTGAGAGCTTTCAGATCTACTGAACTCACCATTTTTATCTTTAGCAATCATATTTATTGATCCTGAAACGTTGTTTAAGTATAAATTTATGGTCATTATATCCGATGCGATATACTCTTCGTCCATTTCTTGTAATGAATCTAACATGATCATAACAATTTCACCATGAGATTGTACTGCTGTTCCATAATTTCTTAATTCAAGTTCAGAAATGTTATTTTCAAAGTTATATAAATATTTTTCACTATGTTTGAAATAATTAAACAAATGTTTTGAGAAATTACAGTGCAATTCTAAAGGGTCTAAGGAAATTGAAAATTTTGTGTAAACAATAACACATATGAAATGTCTAATTGTGATCATTTTGACTTATACTACACTACTAAAAAATTCAGGGAATTTTTGACAAAAAAATTAAAGAATAACACTTGTGTGATAATTCAGCTAAAAATAATATTAAATACATTTTAATATTTTATATGCTTAAAAGAACATTTTTGTGCCTTTAAATAATAATCTATTTGTTTTAATTATATTTACTTTGTATTTCAAACTATATGTTTCGATATTATTTAGTTTAGGATAATATACTTACATTACTTTATATTATATACATTAAAGTTTAATCTGCGCAGCAGAAAAAATATTAATTATACCATGATAAGTTTATTGTATCTGTCACCTCGTGACACGCTTCTACCGTACCAATATTGCTTATTTGTACATTAAAACAAGCCGAATTAGTTCAAATAAAACAAAATATTTTCTCAATTTTTTTTTACCTCAGATGCAAAGCTAGTAGAATTCTCTGGTTGGTATACCCTTTAAAATTTTATTAGGGTTAGAGATTAAAAATTAAATTTTATAACAGTTTTAAAAAGCAGAGAAAAAATATTTAAAAATTAATTGTTTATGATGGTGTAATTTTGAGATGTTTTTGTAAATTTCTAATATAAAGTGTCTTTTTTAAATTTTTAGCAACTATATTAAATTTGTGTTCTTTTGCGTATTAATCATTATAATCGATTCAATGAGAGCTATGAATTTTTGTGGACAGACAAAAAAATCATACACTGTCATAATACCAATACCTACTCAGCTTCGCGTTGTCGCTAATACATTGCAACATTTGTCTAAAAATATCGACAGTTATTAACCAAAGTAGAAACCAAAAGTTACCACTTTTAAGAACCAAAATTTCTAACGCTTAAATGTATTTTAAAGAATCGAAATAGAGCTTTGAGAAACTTCTAGAATTATTTTTTTTGGCACATAAATATTTATCAATTTTTAAATTTTTCATAAGTTGTTAAAATGACTAACTCTAAAGTAAGGTTACCATTTTTTTTTTAGCTTATTTTGGAAGTTTTAAACTAACATTATTAAATAGAAAATTTTATAGGAATTCAATAAATGATATTGTTAAGTTTTATTTCGGTGAGGAAATTTTATAATTACGTTTAAATAAATTGATAAAAGTACAAAATTTGGTTGAAATCAATATTTTTTTCCCCTAATAAATAATTTTTAATCACACTACTAATTTCTATGTAACTCTTGTGTTAAAAAGTTTCTACAATTAAAATATTCACTTTTTTTAATTTATTAAAAATAACCAAAAATATCTAGATATAATGAAATTTAACAACACATCTGAGGACGAAATCATATGTGAAAATAGGACAGATCCGACTAGGCTATGTCCTGATCTAATACCTAATGACAATTGTCTAAAAATATAGACAATAATTAACTATAGTACATTTTAATCACTGTCAGATATCATTATACTTGACCCAACTATGCTACGTCCCCGCTGTGCTGGGTTGGGTTATAAATTGAATATAATTAGAGTGTCGGTGTACTAATCGGTTATCTCAAATTATTTTTATTTCTCATATCATATTATTATATTTTTCATTAAAGTATATTTATTTAAAAGTTAGATATGGTCACTGAATCTAAAAAGTTTATAGCCTATAAATCGAATTACGTAAATTACCAAGCATAGTACTAAAACCATTTAAATTCTTACAATAAATTTTGATGTTTAGCCGCACAGTTTGCTATTAGTTCCTAGATGGGTAATCATATAGGAACTTAAACATTGACACATACTTTTCACATTCTGTCAAATCAATAAGGTAGAGTCAACCCGAATTAATTGGGATAGAAGCTAAGGATAAAACAAAACATATATACATCACGAATCAATAAAATTACATTTATCAAAAGTTAAATGAAATATTACATGTTGTCGATTGAAGTAAACAAAATATAGTAACACTAGGTTTTGACATTTAAAATAACTTTTGATTCGGTAAATATTTTGCATTACTTTTTTTTTAATAATTTCTATTTTCGTACTAAGTTCAAAATATATTTAATATTATTTGTCTTTAAAAAAAATAGCCTCCAATCATAGAGGAAACACTCTTCATACTTTATTAATAAATAATAATTTTTCATACTTATAACCTTCAGAACCAACCTACTGACCAACACATACTACAAGGTTACCAGAAATACTAGATTTTTTCGTAACCAAAATACCTGCTTATATACATAGAAGTACTCAAAATACATCTGATTTATCAAGTGATCTCTCCAGTAGTACTTTTTATAAAAGCAAATCTATTATTAAATACAAGGCCATCTCTTTCATTCGGGTCTATGAATTGGGATAGTTTCAAACAAAACCTAGAAAAAAAAATTTATTTTAAAATACCCCTTAAATCTCAAGAAGATATAGATGCAGCAGCCCACTCCATCACACAAATTATTCAGCAAACAGCTACCATTTCATTAAAACACTCTAACTTTCAATTAACTAATTCTATGGAAAAATTACCTCTAAATTTTCAACAATTAATTTTTGAAAAAAGGCGAGCCAGAGCTAAATGGCACAATATTAGATTACCAAGCCAAAAACAGTTCTTTAATAGGCTAGCAAATGCTTAAAAAAGAAACTATCTGTCTACAAAGCAGATCAATATAAACTATATCTTAACTCTTTAAATTAAAATAATGGTTCTCTTTGGAAAGCAACTAAAAGACTCACAAAAAAAAAAGAAAATATACCTGCAATACGACAAGAAAATGGCACCTTAGCTATANTAATAGGCTAGCAAATGCTTAAAAAAGAAACTATCTGTCTACAAAGCAGATCAATATAAACTATATCTTAACTCTTTAAATTAGAATAATGGTTCTCTTTGGAAAGCAACTAAAAGACTCACAAAAAAAAAAGAAAATATACCTCCAATACGACAAGAAAATGGCACCTTAGCTATACGGACCAAGATAAGCCAACATTTTTGCGGCACAATTGGCAAGAACATTCACTCCCAATACTAATTTATACTCTGACAGTAATTTCAATGAAGAAATAAAAACCTTCTTTACAATTCCACTACCAATGGTTTTACCAGCCAATTATACAAATCCACGTGAAGTAGAGTATTTAATAAAAAAAACTCCCTCTAGGGAAAGCACCTGATTATGATCTAATTACCAATAACATTTTAAAAAATGTATCACAAAAAACCATGCTTTTGTTAACCTACATTTACAATGCGATGCTAAGGTCATCATATTTTCCTATAATCTGGAAATTCGCAACTATTATTTCAATACCAAAGCCAAACAAACCAAAACATCTCTCTACGTCTTACAGACCAATAAGTTTATTACCAATATTAGGAAAACTTTTCGAAAAAATATTACTCAGAAGCTACGTCCTATTCTATCATTACATAACATTGTACCAAATAGTCAGTTTGGGTTTCGCAATAGACATTCATCAATACATCAAATACGCCAACTAACTGATGAAATTGCAACAACGCTTGAAAATAAACATTATTGTGCCGGTCTATTTTTGGACGTAGCGCAGGCCTTTGATAGGGTTTGGCATGAAGGCTTACTATTCAAATTAAAACACTATTTACCTGCTTCATATTTTCTTATTATAAAATCATATTTGGAAAACAGACACTTTGTCGTTCGCCAAGGAAATGAATTCTCATCATACCAAAAAATAAATACAGGTGTATATCAAGGAAGTGATTTATTACCAGACCTTTATAATGCATTCACTGCCGATATCCTTCAAAGTGATAAAACAATTTTAGCCACATACGCAGACGATACAGCAGTATTATCAATTAATAGTGATCCTAACGCAGCCAGTCTTTCACTCCAATATCATGCCAACCTTATTGACTTGTGGGAAAAAAAATGACGAGTAAAAATCAATGAAGATAAATCTGCTCAAATCACCTTCACTTTAAATTTCAAATCACAAGAATGTTCTCAAATTATTATGAATAATATTTCTATACCAATAAAAGAATATATCAAGTGCTTAGGAATTACGCTTGACATACGACTGATGAGGGCCCCCTTCATCTAAAAGAAAAAAGAAAAAGTGCAAGAAACATACTACATCTTACGTCCTCTCCTCATTTCAAAACTTAAACTTAAAACAAAACTATTATACACCCAGTTTTGTCTGATAGTATCCAAATCTGGAGTCCAGCCAACATAAAGTCAATACAATCGTTTCAATCAATAGCACTCAGACTTATAACTAAATCTCCATGGTATATAACAAGCATAAATTTACATAAAGAACTACAAATTCAAAATTTAAACGAACTTTCAGTAATGTACTACAAGTGATTTCAATACAAATACTCTCTTCGCAGACTAAAAAGGCTATGGAAAAGAGATCTTCTAAATAACTAATGGCTAACTATTCCTAACTAAAAAAAAATTAATAAAGAACATGCTAGAGGTGTGACTAATGAGTCATCTTCTTATCATTTATAATTCATGTCATTGTTAATATCAATTTTTAAACATCAAATTTACTTATTGTACTAATTTGAAGTATAGATTATAAATATTCAAAATAAAAAAAAATTAAAAAAATGTAACTTTTTCAAAATTATAAAAAGCTTATCATGGCAAGAGTTATTTAACTCATCATATTTGAGTGACTCATTCTGTCTAAACAAATAATTAATATTAAGAGTTTTAAAATAGTATTTTTGCATCAATTTACAAAAATTTTCAACACACATTTTATTAATTTTCGAGTAATTTAATTCAATTAAAACTCCTTAAATAATCACTTGAAAAATCTAATACCTAATACATATCTATAAATACCACATAACTATTGAAATAATCTTAGACAATAAAATAATATGGAGTATTAAACATGATTTTAGTACATTTTGTAAAATTTTATTAACTTACCGTAAGGAATATTTTGCTTTAAAGTTTTTCTAATTAAATGCCAACCTACTAATGTTTTATGAACAACTTTATTTGATATTTCAAAACAATACTGATATTTTTTTATTTCTGAAACGAATGATGCGATTTTATTTATTTTGTCATGAGCTAAATTATAAAACTGCCTAATATCTTCTGTGTCATATCCTAACAGTAATTCACTAAAAACATTGAAATAATTTCTTTTTATGTACGATTTGTAAAATAGTGCATTAACATACATTTCATTATTTAAGAACAAATCATTGCATTCTTTGAAAGATAAAATAAGTTCGTATGTTTTATTAAAATTACACGCAATGTAATTTGTAAATTCTTCTCCAAATAAATTCAAATCCATAAATGATTTCATAATTTCAATAATATGTTGACCCATTTCAATGATTTTGTCTTTCACATCATTTCTTAATTCATTAAAAATAAAATTACGAATTGAAAGGTATTTTCTAACTAACGAATAATAAACGAGGACGATCAACATAACTGGACGAACCGTTGCAGTATTTACTAAAAATTTAAATGCTTGTACATTTTGCAAATCAAAATCAAACTTGATGAAACGAAACACATCAAATAAATTTATTTTATAATTATTAGTACTCCTTTTTTTCAACGGGGCATATCGAACCATATCTAAAATATCAACTAGTTGTTTGTCACTCTTATATCTAGCATATTGTTTTGCTTGAGAACCTGATGATAATTCTAGCTCGCATAAATTAGATCGAGTTTCCATTAAATCATAAAATAAGAAATATTTAGGATTAAAAACACTATATGATTTCCTACGAAAAGACAACGCTAAATGTTTTACAATGTCATTGTAACTTTTTAACATTTCATCATAGTTCATGTCATACCATAATAAATATTCTCTCATAACAATAAATATGTAGTTTTTTAGGTGTTCCAAATCATTAAGTAAGTTATTAGGATTGTAACTATACGGTATCTTAAAATAGGTGTATGATATGAAATCATTTTCAAACGATACAACTGAACATTGGCTACTAATAAAGTATTCCAATCGTTCAACAATTGATCGATGAATTATTTTATAGCCTTCAAGTAAATTCTGAGAGTTTTCAGATCTACTGAACTCGCCATTTTTATTTTTAGCAATCATGTTTAAAGATCCTGAAACGTTATTTAAGTATAAATTTACTGACATTAAATCTGCTGCTGTATACTGCTCGTCCACATGCCGCAGCGCATCTAACATGATCATTATAATTTCATCGTGAGATTTGATTGCTAATCCATAATTTCTTAGTTCCAGTTCAGAAATTGTATTTTTGAAGTTAAATAAATATTGCTCACCATGCTTGAATAAATTAAACATATATTTCGAAAAGTTACAATGCAAACCTAACAAATCAATTGCTACTATAAAATTTGTATATTTTAAAAAAATTATGTATAATCTTAATGTGATCATTTTGAAATTCAATACTACACTGGCAAGTTAAATATATATTTTATAACTGAATAGCTATTTTTATTATATATTTTATTTATATTAAATATACGGAGTAAAATATACGATGTAAAAGTTATTTATATAAAATAAATATGTTTTAAATGCGATTTTTATTTGCCAATATTTTTAAAACTAAAAGAGCTTAGTGATCAGATTCTATACAACGGTATCCTGACTCCCTTAAAAACTAACAAAATTATCAAAAAAATTAAAAGCCATTGTTTTATAAAATACAGTAATTCAGAAGATAGCAACACCTTTTACCTGTTAAATAGGACATAGGACATTGAAACAAAACTCAAGTAATACCAAAATAATTTTTGAAATTATACAGCCGAGAATATTTTTTTGTTAGTTAATCAAAAAATGTATTAGAACAATAATACATCTATCAAGCAAACCAATATTTTGTTCCATAAACTAAAATATAATTGATTCCATAATAAATAATGTTAGCACAGTAGGGTCGCGGCTTAGTATGAAAGTGGCATAGTTTGGACAAGTATAAATGTTATCAGACAGAGATTAAGAAACGTTTCGATGCAAATCTTTAGATAGAGTTTAATTTTAATAAATTGGTGGATAATTCCGAAAGCAAAATTAATTCCTATTTTTTTCATTTTTCCTAATTAGTAGTTTTATGATTTATAAGTAATACTAGGCTCCGCCTAGCTGGGACTCCGCCCCAGACCCGAAACCCTTCGAGCCTTACGCGACTTCGGCGCGTCCCTTCGGGCCTCTTCGGGCCGTCATCATAAGTAGGTCACTGATTCCGGTAGGGGTACCCGGCTACGCCGGGCACGATAAGTGTTTTTCAGAAAAAATATTACATCAGAATCAGTATAACAAAACTATATCTAAAAATGTTTTATTAAAATCAGGAAAATTGACGCTTGTTAATGAGGTATTCCCTTTAGGCCTATTCAAAAATTATTTTAGGAGGGTATTTAATATTTTTTACTTTATTAAACATGTTACAGAAATTTTTTTGTTAAAATTAAAGTAATGATGAAAAAAAAGGACATTAGGTCCTTATATATTAGAAGTTTCCAAAAATATATTCATAGCGCTGGTTCAAGGGAGGCCCATATCTCTCTTAAATACACCCTTGTTATACACAAAAATTATTAATAACCTAATTATAATAACTGTGTTTATATTATAGAATATTTTAAAAAAAATTTAGCAGGTTATTATACGTGACACATTGTAAAAAATTTAATTTTGATAAAAATATTGGTAACTGCGATTTAACGATGGACATCATAGTTATCATAGATGAATCCCAATTCAAACGATAAACTCATAGTCTCATACATCATATATGAGAAAAAAAAGATTATTAATAATGTACTGTTCTGATAATGAAAGTACAAACTTATATAATTATAACGTCTTGAAATTTATATATAACACATAACATTCCTTGATAAAATATAGTGCAAATGCAAAATAGTGTCCTAATAATAATACATATTACACCATATAATTAAGGTTCATAATAAACGTATGAGCAGAAATGAATCACTGCGCATATTAAAACCATGCGCGTGGACTTGAAAAAAAAAAAATTTCAAACCTTAAGTTGTAAAACGCTGACGTCAGCAAGAGTTTTTCTCAAAATTTTTCCGACTTTCGCCAATAATTTTCCCGGAGTCTGGTGACCGAGTACTTTCGTTGAAAATCCGAGCATGCTAAGTAATTTTTCCAGAAAAGCGTTTTTTTCCTTGTTCTATTATATAATAAAAAGATATATGAATAAATATATATTATAGCAATTTAATGTAGTATGAAATTGATATTTAATAATATAATATTATAATTTTTTCGGAGAACTTATTTATAGTTATAAAGTAGTTATTACTTTCATGCAAACGTGTATAAAAATTAAAGTGCTTAATGAAATGCTTTCAAAAAACAGTTTAATGATTTACACGGAAATTCATCAGAGACCAAAATATACTTTTCTAAACTTATTTTTGTAATTATTTCAATCTGCAATTAGATTTTTTCTATCACCTCTTTTTTGATATCATTACTAATTAGAAATAAACGAGTATTAGCATATAAAAAGAATATTAAAAACAAAATAAAATTGTTTTTTTTTTTTCAAATTATTATTAATTTTGATTTTTTATATGCTAAAATTAATCTGTGCAAAACTTTCATTCGAATTGCTATGTTTAATCTATTTTTTGATCTTTGGGAAACTAAGAACTAATTTCTAACATTTTAATAAAAATTATAAACATCAGTGACATATTTATGGGGTATTTATGGTCTAGACATCCATTTACATAAAATTACAGGGGTATTGATAGGTGAAGCTCACAACTAATTTGTATAATGAAATTTATTTGAACACCTATGTAAAATCTCTAAATATGCGAAAAACAAACATTAATAATAGTAATATAAAAAAATTGAAAATTTTCATATATAAATGGAATTTCAGTATGAATTAACAAAATAAAATCAATAAATTAACCATTTTTGTCAATTAATTATTTACAATTTACATTTTCACAACATTATAGTTACTTAAAGGTACTTAATAAATAATAATAGTACAAAAGTTTATATTTATAAGTAATTTGAGATGCTCATTATATTGTACTACGATTGCCCGATATTATATCTGTTGCGATTGAAACTGTCGTATGCCGGATTTCTTTGTTTTGTTCTCAAGGTAGGTTCACACCTATAAAAAAAAATAAGATATTCCTATTAAATTCATTATAATTATTAATTTAAAATTAAATCGCTATAATTTACTTAAAAACTCTCATCATTTTTTTTAATCGTTATAATATTATTATCATGATTTTTAAAAATTAAATTAAACTTAGTATAAAAATTTAAATGACAGAAATTTTCCAAAAATATTAGGAAATTTTCACAAAGACATATTTTTAAGCTAAACGTATTGGCTACACTTAATACAAATTTTATTTATCGTATGAAGTATTCAAGTTTCAGTTAATATATGTGCAATACAAATTGTAGAATATATTACAATATATATGGGGAAGTCTAAATTTAGATGAGTGAAAAAGTATTTAATAAATTCAAAATGAGTACCGCTCAATTTGATTAATTTTAGACCATTAACTTCAAAAAAAAAAAACTTCTTTTAAAGTTATTTTATTGTTATAAAAATAAATTATAAATTGTTGTTCCTATCTTTTATATTAAGAGAGGCGATTTATAAAATTATTAAAATATATTTTTATATTTGGAAAATGTTTTTTTCTTTGTTATCGATCTAACAAAATTTCATTTGGCTCGTTATCCGTCTATTCACAAATATAAGAGTATAAAGAAATTATAGTTATATTTTTAAAAATATTAATAAACATGGTTAATAAAAAAAATTAAAACTTTTACTATATATTTTTATGAAAAAATCATTATTTTAAAATAATATTGAGTATAATATTATCTTAATAAATCACAAAATATCTTAATATTTCACACTTTTTTGTTGACATTGGTGTATCTCATGTATTAGGAAAATGTTATTTTAAAAATTTAACGAAGAAGACACCCTACATGTTTCTCTTTATATAAGAATAGCTCAAATTGAATAGTTTTATTAACTTTTTTTTGAATATATTGACAATTTAAAAGACCAATCAAATGAATTAGACTTTCACTACACGTTTTTTTCATTTTTAAATTAATAATTTAAAACCGTATTTTTAAATCACCTGCAAGAATTATAGTCGAACAGGAATCCGGAAGTACATTCTTGTACATCCCGACATTGACACGAACATGTAGATGGATTCCATAGCTTTATATCTTGTTCTGCATTGCATTTGTCTTGGTCTTCATCATTACTACAAACACAACGACATTCATTTGGATGATATACTTGTAAGTGATTGCAATCCTTTGCATAAAAATAAATATATTATGTATGAATGATTTATTGAAATTTTAATTTTATATCAAAACAGAGATCAAGTTTAACTTCTTGCTAAAGATCAAACACACCTTTTCTTTTACAATGCAATCGCATTTACATTTTAAATGCTGTTCTACCGTTATAGCTTTTCGTCCTTTATATTCTAATTTTCCTTCTTCATTGTATTGCGATACCATTACCTAAATTTTCATAAAGAGCGATTAATGAGTTCTAACTATTATAAAAATACGTGAATGATGAGCTCACCTCAAAGTTCAACATCTCTGCTTTTATAGGTTGACATGCTAGTAGGTCGTGGGCACAGCAACCACCACACCGGTTCACTCTAGTACATGGTGGATAATAGTATAAGCTAGGGTCATCATTGTCTTTAAGATTGACCGATCTGTACTCAGGCGTACAACCTGAAGCTTTAGGTACTAAATTAGATCCTGAAATCAATATAAAATTTTTAAGTATTTTTGTTACGTTTTTAAATTATTTTTATGAGTGTATTACAACAAATTTACTTACTTCTCTCTAAATTCAATGCAGTACGAGCTGAAAAATACATGCAATTCATTAAATATCCCCTAAATTTTTTTATTTTTTATTTTATCTACTTACTTTGGACGCCAGAGGTGGTAGCAACTAAATGTTGTGCTTCATGTAAGTCTACATCGGGCATGAACTTCCGAAACAAATCTGAAACATTGGATACTTGGTTCAGCTCCCGTATGACATTTAAAGGAATCTAAAATTTATTTACTTTTAATTAAACATTTAATTCAAATAAATAATGAATAATTTACGGTATAGTTATTAAACATATACTTTTAATTAATTGGAAATTAGGCCCTACTACGAAATTCATCATTAAACTTGGCTTAACTGACAAAATATAACAATCTACTAGATAATAAGATCAATAGCAGCTAAATGGAGTGTCAGTATATGGTTAGCATTGATGATGGTAGCATTGTTCCCAAAACACAATACGCGATTTTTTGTAGCTTTTTGAGTTAAATATTTTAAATATATTTTTAATTTTAAATATACTCTATGTATTTTTTACGTAGTCTAAGAATGCAAAAATCATTAAAAATATTTTTTAGCGAAATAGTAATTATATCAACAGTTGTATTGATTGCCAGTTAAATATGTTCTACTCTATATATTGTTTACCATAGTAGGCAATAATAAATAGCAAATTTTATAATTTCTAAAAAAAATTAATGTTTTGAATTGATACTTTTTGATTACAATTAATAATACGTATATTTTTTGGGGGGGAATTCAAATAAATAATGGTCATCATCACTAATCCTTATCCCAACTTTTTTGAGATCGGCTTAACTTTATTTATCTGACAGGAATTTTACATTAGCTTTCGACCGAATCAACCTCATTATAGCTGAGGTGAACAATATGATGATAAACCATTTGTCACTGTTCAAGTTCTCAATAGCAAACAGGGCAGTTGAACATAAGCAGTTGAGGTATTGATTGAATGATCTATTGCGCTACATTAGCTTAAATAAATAGTGAGGGATTTATTATTTTTCAAAATATTTTATCATAAGTTCAGTTATACTCGTAAAAATATTTATTTATTATCTTTTTTACAGTAACTATTGATAACATAAAGTTAAAATGACATTAATTATTCGAGATCATTGTCAGTAATGAAGGTCACATGACTTGACAAATTTTACTACTTTTAATTATTATATTATTGTTTTGTACTATTTATAACATATGACTCATTGAAGACAACGTGAGAGTCTTGTCTAATTAATAAAATTCGTGTGGGTATCAGGTAACTACGATATTTTTTAATATTATAATTATTAACGTGAAAGTTTTTTAGCAATGAATTTTTATTGTATTATTGATAAATTATACAAAACACGACAGAAGGGGAAAACGGAGAAGAAAACACACAATAACTTGTCATATGTGACCCTCAAAACAATCTTCCTACTGTAACATATAACAAGGGCAACGTTATATAATTGGTGATTATTGTCGTTAATTATATCTCCTGAATTGGAACCCCACTAATTCACTATAACATACATTTTTAAGGTTTAATGAATACCACATCATTTTTTTGTCTATATTTTTGTGAATAAAATATTTAATGCAATAACAGACGACTAAGCATCACCAATTTTTCAAATATTTTCTACTTAAAATATTCAAAAATACTCATTCGCCTACAAACATTTTTAAAAAATTACTCTTTATTTTACTTAATAATTTAATTTATTTATAATAATATGCTCAACGTTTGAAAAACTGTGGTGAAATTAGAAATATTCATTCACCTACAAACATTTTTAAAAAATTACTCTTTATTTTACTTAATATTTTAATTAATTTATAATAATATGCTCAACGTTTGAAAAACTGTGGTGAAATTAGAAATATTCATTCACCTACAAACATTTTTAAAAAATTACTCTTTATTTTACTTAATATTTTAATTAATTTATAATAATATGCTCAACGTATGAAAAACTGGTGAAATTAGAAGGTGTCCTAAATTTGCAATTAATATAAAAAATTGAAACACTCAAAAACCTCCTAATTATAAATACGATATATTAATTCAACAAAAACACAAAATAGTATTTATAATAATACTTTGATGTGAAAAATCAATGACTTCAAACAGATCATCTATAACCAGTAATTTAACAATTTACGTTCTTCATTATAATATGAGTCATTCCATAATTATGTCGGATTACATATTTGTGATAAGTAAAGCACCTTCTATGTACATAATCCGTTATAAGAGTATGTCGTTAGTCATTCGATCAACAATTTTTCAATAATTTGAAGAAATACCAATAAACTATTCTTATGGTTCACCAGCCTTGTGTTCATTATTAGCTGTATTTAGATAAAGTCGGCATTCAAAATTTGTTTGACAAATTATTATTAACTTGTAACATTCGAAATTAAAAAAAAGTACGTTTTACAAGTGTGTACATCATGTACACATCTTTAATCAAACTATCATAGTTTGATTAAACAATACCACCAGTCTATATTATATAAAATAACTAAATAGTTTATAGATAGTTATTAATAAATAACTATATCATTATAATTTAAGTGTGATAACTTTTGAAAGACTTTTTTCTTAAATTATTTTAACTAATATAGTATCTCATTTTAATGGTAATATTTAATATCGAAAAATATAATTAAAATAGCCAAATAAAAACAATTTTTAAACGTAGCCCCTGATTATAACTCATGAATAATACACAAGAGGAAGTATGCACTTAAAAACTTATTTATGTCACGTACTAACGTAAATAAATATTTCAAATGTAATAGGAAAGTTTAAGTGAATCATTCAGTAATAACATGATAACAATTTATTATTTCATTTAATCGTCTTAAATATTTTTATAAGAGTTTTGTCAGAGGCGCAATTTGAACAAAATGTTTGGGAAACCAAATTAATTTCTCTCCTTTTTAAAAATATTTCTACATGAATTTCTGCATCAATTTTAACACTTCAAGTTAACCTAATATAGATCAAAAATAAATTACTTAATAAAACTCTAAAATGTATGTTACAACATACTCTAAAAAATTTAGTTCTTAATTACAAAAAAATAACATCTATAAAAATATACATATGTACATATGTATCTGTATATGAATATATACAGATACATGATATTACAAAATAACTAAAATTTATTCAACATTTTGTCGAAAACATATAAATATATTTACGAAAAGAATTAAAACATATTCTATGGAGTTCAGCGGTGCAACTTGTATGAAAGTTGGTAAAATTATAAATTGTAGCTCTCGAGATTTAGAGTTTTTTGTTATAATAACTAAATTTATAATAAGCAGCCTTAAAGTTAAAATGTCTCAACTTAAAGTAATCACTTGGAGTCTTTAAAAGTTAAGTTACACCTCTAATATACTTTTAAACTGCTTTTCATCACGAGCCTAATAATTTTGATGTAAATTTTCGTTGATACCATGAACCTGTGTCGACTATAAATATTGTCGGACCCGAAGCAAAACATTTTTCCAGGGCCCTTATTTTAATAAAAAGACCTTTTTCTTTACGTTTATGAAGCTTTTTTAATCGTCGACACTAGACGAGTACATTTATGACTATGCTCTAACAATAGCCCTGCCGTGGACTAAACATACATAAATATAAATATATATTTTTTTTTAGTTTTTGTACCACAGTAATGAGTAATTTATAATTGTGCAAGTTAAAACTATACTGACTAAGTAGTAAATTTATCCGTTGCAGTTTCATTCGAATTAAATGCATCATACCCAGGTAAAAATCAATTGCAGATATATATTTTACAACCAATTAAGGGGTTCAGTTATATTTCTACTTAAGGAAATAAAATTTTTCGATTAAGTATTATAAACTGCAATAATATAGATTTAGTCGTAAGGAAATAAATCACGTTTCGTAAGAACAACTTTCCATGTGCACAAGACACTCATTTTTATATAATTCATACACATAATTATGTTAATTAGAATTTATAGATGACGAAACAAATTTTCCCAGAAATAATAGGAAGAATAGGCGTTTATAATTTACATGTATTTTTAACTATTTTCAATGGGGACATATCTAAATGTATATTTATGGTAATGATATTTAATTTATTTTTTCATAATTAAGAAATATTAGAAAAGTAATATTTTTTCTTTCAATGATATTTATTTAAAATTACTTCACTAGCTATAATAGTCGATTTTTAATTTTTAAATATTCTATGAAAACTATTTAATTTTTTTTTTGATTTTGCTACATAATTTGACTAAAAACATTGTTTCTTTCAGTCATAAAAAAAACTTTGACTAAATTTAAGCTTTACTAAAATAATCATCTAAAATCTAAAATCTAAAAAAGTCAAAAAATCATCTAAATAATGTAAGTTGGGGAAACATTTTTAAATTATCCATTGAAATTTTATCTAAGCATGAAAATTCAACAGATATACACAAAAAAAAAAAATAGTTTCTTAGTATTTCATATTATAAAAAAAACTATATAATAACAACCATATAGTAAACGCATACAGATTTTGTGATAATGAGTTGCTTTATTGTTTTACAAATAATTAGGTCGAAATTTTCAATTGATTTGGGACTTACTAGTTATTTATTTGTATGGTGTTTTTAAAACGTTGGCTAATAAAAAAGATAAAATAACCTGAATCTGTGTATTTTAGTTGAACGTATAATGAAGTTAAAATAACACAGTATATGCTACCTATGCTGTATGTAAGTTATGCTATTTTAAGGTATGTGAATATTGAATATGTAGTTAGTGTACAGTAGCGTATTATTATGTGTCATTACTATCGTCAGATCGGTGAACAACAAATTAGCAGCGCAATTAAAGTAAAAGATACGCGCACTGACATACCATAGTGACTACCTGTGAATTCTTGTTGCTATTGTCGAAAATCTATTTGTTTAGGACTCAAAATTTATTTCATAAATTCACAGCTAGAATTTCAAACAAGCGCTGAACAATGGTACGTGTTTAAATACAGAAAATTTATATTGTAAAGTTTTTACATTATTTGTAGAAATTAAAAATAAAATTGCCCAGGTATATTTAAAAACACAATATATTTCTCTTTGAGTAAAAACAAAGTGATTATCCGTCTGCGCACGTGCCAATTGCACTATTAATGTGAACACTGAAAAATATATTCGTTATTTTTTAATACTTAATTGAAAGTTCTATGAAATGTATAGTTTTCTGTTTTATGACAATAGGAGTAACTTCATTGTTAGAAAACCTAATTTCATTTACTGACAAACCGTTGTGTACAATATGTTTTTAATTATCAACAAGAAATAACCAAACTAAGTATTGTGTCTAATCCATGCCACAAAATTCGATTTTAATTATAGTAATTTATAATAAAACAAATTATTATCTAGGAATTATCGACTAAATGACCCTGAGTATTTACTAAAAAAAATAGATAAGTATAGTACATAAATTCTGTAAATTAGTATTCTATATTTTCCATTTTTTTTTTTTAATTTTGCTAGAACAAAAGAACTTGCAGAATTTTTTATGACCTAAAGAGAATGGTGTAGATTAAGACTTTTCTAAAAATTATTGTTAAAAAATTATATTAAATTATAAATACAAATAATTGCAATGTGTAAAATAACAATTAACTTTCGGTACAACGTCATGACAAACGTGACAGTGATTATAAAGATGACTGACCTTAATTTGCTCTGAATATAACTAGGTACATATTCATTTGTACGAGCAACATAATCAATACATTGTATAAGAACTCAACGAATCTTTGTAAATATTGATGTAAAACTGAGGAGACTTTAAAGTATTACATTATTTAAAATTTTAGTTAAAATAAATTATTTTAAATAGAACGATGTCTTAGAAACATTTATATCATAATTTAGAACATGGATTGATATTTTTAAATGTTTTTCGTTAACATAAAACACAATTTATTTTTTTAATTTCGACTACATTTCAATAGTAGAATAAGCTAAAAGTCATTTTAGTTGATGTTTTCTTATTTTTTTTTTGCGTCGCATTAACCATAAATAATTAATTATAATTTATTATTTACCTCTCGAGACCCACGGTTGACGTCACGGCTGTGACCATTGGCTGATAAGCCACAGCAAGGTCGGTCCTGCCGGTCCATGTGTTCAACATCCGCACCAGGGAAGTCCCCAAATCTTATAGCAGAAGTTTGTCGGGTTGAGTCTGCTGGGACCAACGTGAGCGTTAAGCATAGAATTGCAGTAAACCGCACGAAGGCGGTCAAGTTAGCGAAAGGCGGCATATAGTCGTCAGTACGTGCAGCCAGTATAGAGTTCTCAGTGTTACTAGCTGTAGCGGTATGAAGTACGCGCGCACTACGCTACTGCTCGACCGCCGAGGACGCCGCCCGCGCGATATCGTCGCGTGCCCACCACGACTATCCGCTAATGCAGATAACAACAACCTAGACAGGTACGTCCACTCTGTGCGTCACACTCTCTCCGTAATGAATCTACAATACGATTCGTCCATTGGTTTTAGGTACACCATGTAGTAGTTGATCGGCCTTACCTATAACCTACTGTCTTTAGTGATCACTCAGCTACCTGGTCTGCATTTACACGCATTATTCAAACTGTAGTGTAGTGTGACATTTATATTATGTGAGTCATACAATCCAAGGTGCAATAAGGGATTTCTGTGATTAATGTTGTTGCTCCTAATCCGAATCATTATTAGAAACGATCATAATTATCAAAGAATATTACATTCCCTGAATTTATGATAGTTTTCCATTCATTGTAAAATATTGTCAAAAATGTATAGTTTTTTGTTGAAATTACCTACTGGCACACATATTCTATATTACCAATGATAAAATGGTAACGTGATAATTCAATACATTCTTATTAATTTGAATGTATGGGAGTAATTGGGTTTGTATGTTTTATTTGTATATATGGCCATTGCGCAATCATACAAATAATTGTATACTATATAATAATGTTAAGCCGGAATCATTAATTTAACTCAAATTTTAATAATTGAATTTAATTATTAAAAACAGTTTATTGGATATATTAATTTCAAAGTCCAATGATGACAAAACGTTTCTACGAAGTCTTGAGCAATCAATTAAACTGGAATAGTGTCACCTTGTCACTAAGAGAATAACAGGATGGAATTCATAGGAATTTTATCCGCTTACATAAAAATCTATAGTAAAGTAAATAATATTGTATCTTAACTTTATTCCGTTAACATTCAAAAACTTAAATTGACTTTTAATATGTTTTAAATGATTTAAAAATAATCAAGTTGTGTAAAATCTTCATCGTTTACAGCCTCAAAGTTTCTACAAACTGTACAACATAATACTCAACTTTAATTTATGATTTATCAATTTTATTTGTGAAAAAATTTAAGAAACAAATATGTGTATGAAAAGAATCAAAATCATCTAATCATCTTGCTATTTGTTGAACTATACAATAGAAAAATTGGTATTCATATACGAACTGGTCCACGGTGTTTTAAAAAATTTAATAACTTTTTATCTATTAAATATTTTGCGTTACTTTAACTACGTTCAAATAATATTTTTATTATTTGGTTTCAGCAATAAAACATGTTTAATATTTATGTTTATAAACATTATATTTACAGGATGATCGGTTTATCATAAATCAGTCATTATTCGCAAAATAAAGACAATATTGGAAAAACTAAAGTGATTTCATTTAACTACACATAATTCTTCATTTTACAGCTAATAATTACTTTTTAGAATTATTCCTTATTACTTAAAGGGCTGCATAATTTTTTTTTTTTTAATGCTTATATATATATATATATATATATATAACAAACTTATGAAATAAGAAATAATCTAATTAAGAACATAACAGCAAGACTGGTCGATAACAACGTTTGGACAAGTATTTCAGAAGTTATAAACATTTCAAAGAAATGGCTAGAGATGGGAAATGGGTACTAATATTTTTATCGCTAATCATTTCCCAGTTTTATTCTTCGTCTCCTCTAGGTTTAAAAATGAGAATAATATCCAAAGAGTCAAAAGTTGTTACCGACCAGTCATTTTGTTAATTAGATAATTTCGTATTTTATAAGTTAATTTGATACGTATTTTACCATTTAAATAAATAAAGTTGACACTATTATATTTTAAAAGGGATAATCGTAAAAAGTAATAGGTTATAAATCAAAAATTGTATGTAATTAAAAAAAACCAAAAACTATTTTTGATTATTGTATTTTGAGTGGTTTATTATATATAACCCATCACTCTGTATATAATTTATTTTCTTTCAATATTCAAAAATAACTATATTTTAGAGTTTTTCTTACCAAAAAGTAATGGATTGATAACGATTTTATGATAAGTACTTATTGAGTTACAAATAATCTAATGTATTGAGTGGGTATATAACACGGGTAGAATGTGTTATATGTCTTATGTGTTATAAATATACAACAATACGAGCTGTACCCACACGCATTTCTTACCCACCTTATGTATTAAAACGGTTGTAACTTAATAAGTACATATTCTAAAATCGTTTTTGATTGATAAGACTTTTTTGTAAGAAGAACTCTAAAAAAACGGCTATTTTGAAATTTTGAACAAGATAATTTTTTTTTATAAAAATATGATTTAAAAGTAGTCAAAGAAAGCAAACATTTTTTTAACTAAATAATACCTCTAATAATAACTAAAAATTTTAGTTTTAACAATAGTTATAAAATTTGTCAGTTCAAACTATTCCATTCTGTATGTATCTCAAACTTTATTTTTAGATAATTAAATTAAAATTATGAGTTGAATTTTATGTACCAGTTCACTTTTTATGAAGGCTTAATATTTACCATTTTCCATCATAACAACACTCCTTATGGTAAATAACTGAAATATTGTATTAAAAATTTTGAATTATGCAAAAAGTTCCTTAAAGTCAAAATAAATTATACAGCACCATCAGATTTTTTCAACTTAAATGTCTTGATAAATAATCGATCTGTACTAACTTGAAATTGTAATTACTTATTAAATGTAGAACATGTATTGTTTTTTATTAAGCCTTATATTTTTATATGCTGCAACACATCATTCACGCTTTTATAGTTATTGACTAACTCCGGAAAACCTGTAAAAAAGAAGGGAAATAAAATATCATTATATCTAATCTACGCAAGTATCAATTATTAAAAATGCATTAAGTGTTTTCAAAAACTCAGTTTTTTGCTACCTTCTTAAGTTAAATTTTTTTTAGTGATTTTCTATTATATCATGTATTAATTATTATTATTGCATAATTTTTTTAATTATGTGCTTAAAACGTTATATTGTTTAATCTACGTGGTATTTGAAATCAAAGATTGTTTTGATTATTAATCAAAAGTGAATTATAGCTGTCAATATTATGCGTGATTAACTTTTAAATAACTAAAAATAATTTATAAGTAGTTTATAAAATCGATTGTCGTAGAGATATCTAATAAATAACTAATATGAGTGTTTTTAAAGGAGCTAAAATATAACTTTAATATAAATGTACACACTACTAAAGTATAAATAAACAAGTTTGTTTTAAGTAAAAAGGACTGCGTTAATTTTTTACTTTGTCAATGTTTTATTGTGGTTTTTAATTTAACGATATCAAAGTTTTTATAAATTTCATATTGTTTTAGTTGAACTTGAATAGCTAATATATAATAATTACTAATAGTCATAGCTATATCATAATAGAAGCTGTTATTTATTTATTTGTTACTTATCTCTATTCATTAGTCTATAAATTATTATATTATTACTACTAAATGCATTAAAGCTTAAAATATATTATTGTATTTTAATACAAAATTTTAAAAATTTATTCGTACTAACGAATTAACGAAATTTTTTATTAAAAATAATATTAAAATATACTGCGATAGTTATTATTTGGTAGTCATTCCTATTTTATGATTTATTTTTTTTTTTTAACGCCAAAAGTTTTTTGTTCGTATTGTTTGCCTTTTGTTGCGCTGCCAAAATTCTTATTGTTAATTTTATATTATTCTAACTTACAAATAACTTTTGATTTACTGTTATGGTTCCAAAAAATGCCCATTAATATTTCTAAATATTTGTCTATAATATAATTTAACCAATCTTCATAATAATTGTTGCTTGTGAGAGCTGTATTATATTTTACAAAGCGTTAATCTACATATATTGTAAATACAACTATATAAAATGCTATATATTAATATATGCTAATATTCCCAAAATTGTATTTGATTATTCATTACTTTCTAAAGCAATCTACAAATAAAATACATTAAAATGGTTATTGACATTTATTTGAACGTTTATCAATACGTTTATGATAAGTAGTAAAATTTTAATTGAAAAATGATAAAATTTCACAAAAGAACGATATAATTTGGTTAAATATTTTTTTTATATTCGATGTTCATACCGCACAGTATAGTAAGTAAGTAGTAAGAATTAATCATGGCTCACATCTTATGAAAAAATTTGCACAGCTATATTTTTTATTAATATTACGTCACAAATTTTTACCTAGTTAATCATACAATGTGGCACATACTGAAAAAATTTAGTAAAAAAATATGTTAACATAGCAAATTGAATGTAAGTGTGGAAATCAATTTTCTCCGAACCTTAAATTTTGTTAATCGCAAGTAGAACAGATAAATTATATGTAATTATTGAATGAATAAATGGTTGTTCCTCCTTTCACATAATTACCGTATCCAAGAATAATCTTTTATCGATTTTTAATTTAACTTGGGCGTCCTAGTTCACTATATAAAAGAAAAACTAAATTATTATGTTAAAGTAAACAAAAAACGGCTTTGAGTCTTTAGGTTGTCTCTTTAGATTACTTTTAAATTGTATTAAATATAATTTACTTAGGCATCTTTATTTAGATTTCAAATTGTACAATTTATTCAAACATATCTTATACCTTATTAAGTAAACTTTATGTCAAACTTTCAATTAAAAATTCAACTAACTTATAAATCCATGATAAATCCATGATAAATAAATTGATAATTATTTATCGTTGTTTTATTTATATTTTAAAAATTAAGCAATTTTTGTAAAAAGTAGTTTTTTTTGTTTTATTGGTCCGTATTATATATAATTCTGTGATTTTAATCTTTAACTACTTTTTATTTATAAAACGTAACATGCACGCTTATCTGGCTAATATACAAGTTATTAATATTTTATTTATTTTACTTAATTCAACAAATATGTAAATAAAAAATGTATTGTAATCAATGACAAATAATCATACGAATCTAATAAATTACTAAACTACAGTAAATCATTCATAAAATATAAATATTCATTCGACTATTTTATAATAAGTTTATACAGAGTGTTTG